ATATAAAGGAGAAAATACATATAAATATAGAGGACATAGGTGTCCTTTGTAATGTAAACGCGAAAACAACAAAAAAAAGCGCGCAAATAAGTACGCGGAGAACGGTATCTATAGAAATTAGCGCGATAACATTTACCGAGAATATTTGCTTAAAATTCGACTTTTCATAACGGCCGTTCTCGAGAGATTTAAGAAGATTGATATTTTCTTAAACTCAATGACGAATATTATTAAATTCGACGATACAGATTTCAAAATGCAATATTAAATTAAATTGAATCTAATTGTACTTATAATGATTTGTCCGAACATTCCGCCCGCCTTGTCTACTCGTAGTAGACGAAATATTGAACTGAGATATACGAGCGGTTAGCGCAAAGTCTTTGTATAGTCTATTAATTGTCTATCGGCAATAATCACAGTTTGACGATTGGTCGCTTGAAACTTGAGGTAGCTGTCTTCACTGTGGCGACTCGAATGAGTCCGTCGACTCCAGAGTGCACGTCGGTAATGCGTGCGAGAGGCCACTTGGATGAAGAAAATCGTTCGTCTTTAATTAGAACGAGAGAGCCTTTTTTGATAGCATCTTGAGGTCGTTGTCGTTTCGAGGTAGTTTGCAACTGCTGCAAGTATTCTGACGACCATCGTTGCCAGAATAATTCTTTTAATTGCTGTAGGAGTTGCCAGCGCGACAATCGATTTTGCGGCACTCCGTCAAGCGAAGGTTCCGGCACGGTAGCAAAAGTTGATCCAACGAGGAAATGTCCAGGCGTTAGAGCGGAAAGGTCCGACGGATCATCAGAGAGAGTAGTTAACGGGCGCGAATTTAATATCGCCTCGATTTGCACGAGAAGCGTTGTCAGTTCCTCGTAGGTAAGAAGAGCGTCGCCGAGAACTCGCCGCAAGTGAAATTTGACGGATTTCACCCCGGCTTCCCATTTTCCTCCAAAATGGGGGACAGAGGGTGGATTGAATTTCCACCTCACTCCGTCATTTGCGAGAACATTAGCGATGTGAGCCCACTCGCGAGAAGAAGACGTGAACATTCGTTTGAGCTCTGCGTCGGCACCGATGAAATTCGTGCCACAGTCGCTGGTCAGAGTAGAGCAGATGCCTCGCCGTCCGGTGAATCGCCTGAATGCCGCCAGAAAACCGTCCGTAGAATAATCAATGGCGACTTCTAGGTGTATCGCAGACGTGCTGAAACAGATAAAAATGACGAAATATCCCTTGTATGTTTTGCAGCCTCGTCCTCAAAAATTTTGAGAGTCAATGGGCTGGCATAATCGACTCCAGAGTTCACGAACGGTCGGCACGGAACAACACGTGATACTGGGAGCTGTCCGACAGTTTGTTGACCCGTAGTAGCACGATGGCGAGCACAGATAACGCATTTGTGGATAAAAGCTCTAATAGGAACGCGACCGCCGATGATCCAGAATTTTTGACGAATCGATGATAGCGTGAGTTGCGGTCCGTCGTGTAGAGTCTTTCAATGATAATGATCCATCAGGAGAGTTGTTAAGCGACATTCTCGAGGTAATATTAGATGGATTTTTTTCTGCTGGATCGAGTTGTGACCGGAGTAAACGTCCGCGTAAACGCAACAGTCCATTGTTGTCGAGAAATGGCGTTAAACGGTGGAGCCAGCTCGAAGTTGAGAGTGATCGTTGATTCTTCAAACTTTTGATCTCGGTCAAGAAGTAAAAATGCTGCGTGAGTTTGACCCACAGCATTAGAGCGGATTCTAACTCTTCGACGGTGAGAGGCTCGAGATATGAGCGTGATGTGACTGATTTGCGGAAGAGTTGTAGCGCACGCTGGACCCATGCGGTTATTCTGAGGAGGGTCGTCAGCGATGAATATCGATCGAGCATAGAGAGATTGTGCTCATGATTTTCAACTGCAGTTGTACACTGCGGAGATCGTTCTTCGAGGTTGTCCGTAGATTCGAGACTCGGAGTTGAAGACGGCCAAGATGTGGAATGCGTGTGTAGCCAATGAGAGCCGGTCCACCAGAGTTCTTCTTGTTGAAGACGTTGAGGCGTTACGCCTCGTGATGCGAGATCGGCAGGATTCTTCTTTTCGGAAACGTGATGCCATCTAGAGTTTAAAAGCTCTTGAATAAAAGAGGCGCGATTACGCACGAAGTCTTTCCATCGAGATGGATGACTTTTGATCCACGTAAGAGCGACCGTCGAATCGGTCCAAAGATGGATCGGCGCGGTTTGTAGTTCAAGCACTTCGCGAATTTTGAGAATTGACGCACGAGTATCACTGCAGCTGAGAGTTCGAGTCGCGGTATAGTCATTCTTTTGAGAGGAGTTACTTTAGTCTTTGAGCAGATGAGTTTCACTTAAGCGTCGTCAATGTCACTGAGAACGCGGAGATAAACGACAGCGGCGATTGCACTTTAAGACGCGTCCGCGAAACTGTGCACTTCCACGGCGAAATTCGAAGCACTTGTACCAAACCAGCGCGAGATAGAGATACGAGAGTTGTATTCGAGTTGAGTGACGTAGCTTGTCCATCGTGATTTCAAAATTTCTGGGAGTTCGTCGTCCCAGTCGAGACGTATAGCCCACAATTCCTGCATGAACATCTTTGCGGTAACTGTGACAGGCGTAATCCACCCGAGTGGATCAAACATGCGCGCAATGAGCGATAGCACTGAGCGTTTCGTAACGCGATTGTTCGAGATCGTGAGCGACGGCGGTGAAAACACGAAACTGTCTGATTGGCGTTCCCAACGCACGCCGAGAGTATGATGTATCGCACTGTCGTTGACCGAGAGCGTAGAGGATGGTTCGCGATCACAAGCAGGAATTTTGTCGAGAAGATTTGAGTCGTTTGAGATCCATTTTCTGAGAGTGAATCCGCTCGCCGTGAGCGTGTCCCTTAATTGCAAGATTTTTTCCTTTACCCGAGCGATACTTTCTTCACCGGAGAGAACATATGTGTCGCGACAAAGAATTTTGGCAGCGTGAGAGCGTATCGGATCGGATTCGAGAGCAAGTTGCTACAAACAGCGTAGCGCGAGATATAGAGCACACGCGAGGCCGTACGTTACTGTGCACAATGTATATTCTTGAGGCTTCTCATCGGGAGAGTCTCGCCAAAGAATTTTTTGTAACGGCCAATCTTTTCCGTGTACGCGGATCTGCCGATACATTTTTTCGATGTCGGCCGCGAACACGTATCGATGCCGTCGCCAACGGAGTAGAATGTCCGCGAGATCCGGTTGCAGTTTTGGCCCGATAAGAAGACACTCATTTAACGAAAACCCGCGATTTGTCTTTTGCGATCCGTTGAACACGACGCGGAGTTTTGTTGTGCTGGTTTCACGCGTAACACCGTGATGCGGGAGAAAAAACTCGCGAGATTGTGCGCGATCAAAAGCCGCGACGAGACGCATGTGATCGAGAGAGCAATACTGACGTAAAAAGTCTGTTCAGGATGGAACAAATAATTTTGTCAATATTATGTCCGTTATTTTTATATCAAGTCATGTCCGATATTGTATCTTCTTCGCTGATGACTTGTTTTGTATTTTCGTCGTTTATTACTTGTTTGTGTCACCGTTTCAAAAGACAGGTCTTCTATTGTATTCTCCCTTCTCAATATTGAGGTAATCGTCAGCGCTCGTTCGAACGACGAGTCAGTCTTTTTCGAGAATCGAAGCGAATCTGACCGTAATAATCATCGCTAAGAGTTAATCGAAATAATTGAAATACGCGATCGACGAAACGTGATCTACTTGTGCGGTTTTGCTTATAACGCGTAATTCAAAGTGTAACAAACCCACAGTTGCAAATTTCGTCATATTTTCCTAATCGATATTAAAATTAAAGATTAGGATTCAGTGCTAAATAAATTAGTAATCTAACGACAAACAAAAGGAAAATTACGTTTCTGAATGTTTCTTTCTTTCTCCCGATTTCCTGTCCATTTCTGTAACGATTTTCGTGTTCCTCTCTCTTCCTCTCTCGGGCCCGCTCAAAGCCCGATTCTGATCGTCTTCGATCTCTCTCTCTCTCTCTTACGTTCGCTTCCTAGTTTGTGTTCTTTTTTTCTTTCTGCTTCCTGTGTCCTTTGCTCCTTCGAGCGATATCAGCTGATTTCGTTCGTAGCCGAACTTTGTACTCTCGGTTCGCGAACATAATTTTGGTCCTTCGAGCCGGATAGGATATCCGAGCGGAACTCTCATCTCAGTGTCGTGCGGAACTAACTAATTTATTGGCAAAATGAGTGAACTCATCTCAGCGCAGCAAGCGCTGCTTCATTCGGTTGCTCGTTCATTAGACAATTTCAAAAAAATCGGGAAGAACAATTTGACAAGTGCAAAAATCCGATCGCGAGTTTCTACGCTAAAAGAAACCTGGTCCCAGTGCCTTCAAACTCACACAGCATTAATCCATGCTATTCCAGAAGCTAAAAGGGAAACCATGGATTACTTCAAAAAGCAGCAGCTCGATGATTACGAAGACATTTACCAAAACACGCTGGACTACATGGCCGAGTGTCTCGAGGCGATCGAGCCGACGGCTAACGCAAACTCGTCGTTCGGCTCCGTAGTGAGTAAACGCGATGAGTCGTTCTCATTATCTCACTTGCCGCCAATTCTTATTCCTCCGTTTTCCGGTAAGTGTGAAGACTGGGAAAGTTTTTGAGATCGTTTCACGTCTCTTATCATCATGAACAAAGACCTGTCAAATTTTGCACGGATGCATTTTCTCGTTTCGAGCCTTACGGGTCGCGCTCTCAAATCAATAAAGAACACTCCAATCACTGCAGACAACTTCGAAATAGCATGGAAAGCTCTAGTGTCTTGTTACGAAAATAAACGTCGATTAATTGAAGTGCATGTGTCTGCCCTATATAATATGCCGACAGTCTCTCGCGAAAACGCGTTTGAACTAAACGAATTACGGGATAAAGCGAATTGAGCCCTCGCATCGCTCAAAACATTAAATCGTACGCCCGCGGAGATTCTAAGCGACATGCTAGTCTACTGCGTTTCGCAAAAACTAGATCATTTTACGCGGAAGGCCTGGAAACTCAGAGGAAGTGACAATAGTGATATTCCGACATACGAAGATTTGGATCGTTTCATCTCCTCTCGTGCGCGCGCTCTCGAAGAACTAACTCCTCTCAGCCTCGCGAAGCCTACGCGATCACAAAAGATAAACAGCAATACCGTCTCCGCTTCATCGGCTGCGTCGTGTCCCGTTTGTAAGGGATCTCATTTTATAAATAAGTGCGCGCTCTTTATTCAAAAGACTCCGACCCAGCGCTTAGAAATAGTCAAACAGGCAAAACGTTGCGTAAATTGCTTGAGTGCAAAGCATGCTGTCCAAGCCTGTCCGAGCAAGTACTCTTGTCGCGCTTGTCAACGGAAGCATCATTCTATGCTTCACCTCGAGTCCTCGCCGTCGGCAACCGAAACTGTTCTTCCTACGACATCAAAGTCGAAATCGGAGATGATGACCGATAATGCCACGTCGTTGTTTTCTGCGTCAAGATTACAATCTCGCCCTTCCGTTCTTCTCGCAACCGCGCGCGTAAAAATCGGATCTCCTTCAGGTCGAACAGTTATCGCTCGAGCTTTACTCGATCAAGGATCCGAAATAACCTTTATTACCGAACAAATTGTCCAAACTCTAAAATTGCGTCGTATCAAACTACCGATTTCAATCTCCGCCGTCGGCGGAATCGATGCCGGTATCTGTCGTTTCGCGGCTCAAATTAAATTGTCTCCACGCGATGCCTCCTATCCGACTCTTACAAGCACCGCGTCAATAATGCACTCACTGACTAAATACACGCCGCCGCTAATAAGCTCAACGAGCGATTGGAATCATTTATCCGATCTCACGCTCGCGGATCCCGATCCTACCAGCCCCGATCGCATTGACATTATTATCGGTGCGGATCTATATAGCGAATTAATTGTAGACGGTGTGCGAAGAGGGGATAAGGGGACACCGCTTGCGCAAAACACTATTTTCGGATGGATACTCTCGGGACCGATGTCCGGTATTTCATCACGCCGATCCATATCCGTGCAACATTGTGCAAATGCGCTATCTCTAGAAAGTGAACTGCGCAGATTCTGGGAAATTGAGGAAATCCCTCAGCGTGCGATCCTCAGCCCAGAAGAGCAGCAATGTGAGGAACACTTTCTCACAACTCATTCGCGTTGCGCCGACGGGCGATACGTTGTCCGCCTTCCGTTCCGAAAAGGCCCTCCGATCGACATAGGTCAATCGCGCAACACAGCCGAACGTCTCCTCAAGAGCGTACATCGTCGGTTCAAAAGCAGCAACGAGTTAAAAATAGAATACACGAAATTTCTGCACGAGTATGAGGCCCTCGGACACATGAGAGAGGTGACAAGTTCAAGAGCGTTTTCAACGCAGTGCGTATACATTCCGCATCACCCGGTCATTCGCGAGAGTAGCGTCACGACATGTTTGAGAGTCGTATTTAACGCGTCTAGTATAACGACGAACTCTACATCATTAAATGACCATTTACTTACTGGCCCAAAATTGCAGACGGATCTCTCAGCCGTCGTACTGCGGTGGCGACAATTTCGTTATGTTTACTCGGCCGACATCACAAAAATGTATCGCCAAATTTCAGTCGACTCTCGCGACGTCGATTATCAGAGAATATTGTGGGCTGACAGCGAAACCGAATGCGCCAAAGAGTATCAATTAACGACAGTGACGTACGGCACCGCGTCTGCTCCATTTCTTGCTTTGTGCGTACTTCGGCAGCTCATTCTCGATGAAGGCCATTTGTTTCCGCTCGCGGTTCCGGTATTACAGGATAACATATACGTCGACGACGTTTTATTCGGAGCGGACGATATTCCTCTCCTTTGACAAATGCGAAGTCAAGTCTGTGCTTTGTTAAAATGCGGACTTTTCGAATTACGAAAATGGTCGAGCAATTCCGTCCACCTTCTCAATGATATAGCAGTCGAGGATCACGGATAAGCATGTAATAAACCGTTGCAATTCGATGAGCAATTAAAAATTCTTGGCATTAGCTGGAATCCAGCATCTGATATATTTCGGTTCAATGTGTCGTTTCCGATTGTTGACGTCACCACTAAAAGATCCATTCTATCAGCCATTGCTAAATTCTTCGACCCGTTAGGTTGGAGCACTCCAGTGACAATTAATGCCAAGATATTTTTGCAAAAATTATGGCAATGTAAATTAGAGTGGGACGATCAACTCCCCCCTCCACTGCTAGATCAATAGAATGTACTTCAAATATCTTTAACTGAAGTCAACGGTCTTCAGCTTAATCGGTGGATTCAGCGAGGCTCTGACACCGTACATTGCGAACTCCACGGTTTTTCCGACGCGTCGAACGCGGCGTACGCCGCTGCCGTTTACATGCGTATTATATCGCTCTCCGGCAAAATCAATGTAAATTTATTAATGAGCAAATCAAAGGTCGCCCCAGTAAAAACCTTAAGTATTCCGCGACTAGAATTATCTGCGGCCTTATTAATGGCTCGATTAATTGAATTTGTTCGTAATTCCCTTCACATTCCTGACGTGTCCTGCTACTGTTGGACTGATTCAACTATTGTGTTAGCATGGGTGAATCAACATCCTTCCCGCTGGAAGACTTTTGTCTCAAACCGCGTGTCACAAATCCAAACGCGAATTCCATCCGCAAAATGGCGACATATTTCGACTCACGAAAATCCTGCCGACTGCGCATCGCGAGGAATCTCCGGTCATTCGCTAGCATCCCATACTCTATGGTGGCGCGGGCCCGAATGGCTACTTATGCCGTCTTCGGAATGGCCGACTCAAACCGATCCGCTGGTACACGAAACTGAGCTCGACCAAAAGTCTCACGTTCTCAGTCATCTCATGCGATCGGTCGAACCCTGGGATCTCGCCTCGCGATATTCCTCGTGGACAAAATTGATTCGCATCACCGCGTATGTAATGCGGTACATTCATCGCTTGCGTCATCCCATCGTATTACATCAGAGATTCAAAACCAATTCAGCCGCATTGACCGCTGACGAATGCCAGAAAGCAAAAGAATTCTGGCTAAAGCGAATTCAAGAAAATGTTTTTCCGCTCGAACGAGACGCGTTATTAAATAACCAAAAAATCTCGTCAAGAAACGCGCTTTTAACACTCAATCCGTTTATTGGCGACGATCAATTAATCCGCGTTGGCGGGCGGTTATCTCACGCCTCCATTCCATTTACAGCAAAGCACCCGGTAATCCTTGCTTCTCATCCATTGATTAAATTAATCATTCGGCATGCTCATTTACGATCGCTCCATGCTGGAACGCAATTAACTCTTGCCACCTTACGACAGGAGTTCTGGATTCTGCGCGCTCGAACTTTAATAAAATCCGTCATTCATCAATGCGTAGCCTGTACTCGCGAAAAAGCCGTTCATCCCGTGCAACTCATGGGAAATTTACCTTCCGTACGCGTTAATGCTCCCACTCGCGCGTTCTTGCATTGCGGGTTGGATTACGCCGGACCCGTGTCAATTCGAGCATTATCTGGTCGCGGACGCTCTGCCACCAAGGCTTACATCGCGCTATTCGTTTGCATGGCCTCCCGAGCCGTACATCTCGAAGTCGTGGACGGTTACTCCACTTCTGCGTTTTTGGGAGCTTACGCGCGATTCTGTACAAGACGAGGACTTCCTGAGTCGATCTACTCCGACAATGGTACCACGTTTGTCGGAGCCGATCGCGAACTCGCCGCTGCATTTCGCGCAACGCTCCGAGATCCGAATCTATTAAATCGCACTGCCTCCGAGAAAGTTTAATGGCATTTTCTGCCGCCTTCATCTCCTCACTTCGGCGGATTGTGGGAGGCTGGAGTGCGGAGCGTAAAACATCATTTACGCCGGGTAATGGGGACACACACTCTGACCTTTGAAGAGTTTACGACTCTCTTATGCAATATTGAAGCGTGCCTTAACTCGCGACCGATTGCACCGCTTCATGACACGGTCGAAGATTACGAGCCACTTACTCCCGGTCACTTCTTGATCGGATCCGCGTTAACTGCGATTCCAGAACCTTCCGTTCTTGAAATCAAAGAAAATCGTCTGTCGCGATGGCAAATCGTTCGCCAACTCACCGAGAGATTTTGGAAACTTTGACAACACGACTATGTCAACACATTGCAACAAAGATTTAAATGGAATAAGCTCGCGCAAAATGCTATTCACGTCGGACAACTCGTTCTACTTCATAACCCTTTGCTACCGCCCTGCAAATGGGAGTTAGGTCGTATAATACAATGCCACGCTGGCCTAGATGGATTAGTTCGCGTCGTAACCGTCAAAACCGCGTCATTCACGTATAAGCGTCCAATAGTCAAAATATGTTTATTACCTATCAATATCGACAAGTTAGAAACCACTGCGACGACATGCAACGATTAATGTAAACAACGTATAACCCGCCTCGAAATCAGCTTTAATTTTTTTTTTCTTTTTTCTTCTTTATCGCAGCTTTGTTAATTTCCTTTCTTTAAAAGATTTTGTTTGGAGTTTCTTCTCCTTTTGAAACTGTCGTTTCAAGGCGGGTGGTATGTTCAGGATGGAACAAATAATTTTGTCAATATTATGTCCGTTATTTTTATATCAAGTCATGTCCGATATTGTATCTTCTTCGCTGATAACTTATTTTGTATTTTCGTCGTTTATTACTTGTTTGTGTCACCGTTTCAAAAGACAGGTCTTCTATTGTATTCTCCCTTCTCAATATTGAGGTAATCGTCAGCGCTCGTTCGAACGACGAGTCAGTCTTTTTCGAGAATCGAAGCGAATCTGACCGTAATAATCATCGCTAAGAGTTAATCGAAATAATTGAAATACGCGATCGACGAAACGTGATCTACTTGTGCGGTTTTGCTTATAACGCGTAATTCAAAGTGTAACAACCCCACAGTTGCAAATTTCGTCATATTTTCCTAATCGATATTAAAATTAAAGATTAGGATTCAGTGCTAAATAAATTAGTAATCTAACGACAAACAAAAGGAAAATTACGTTTCTGAATGTTTCTTTCTTTCTCCCGATTTCCTGTCCATTTCTGTAACGATTTTCGTGTTCCTCTCTCTTCCTCTCTCGGGCCCGCTCAGAGCCCGATTCTGATCGTCTTCGATCTCTCTCTCTCTCTCTCTCTTACGTTCGCTTCCTAGTTTGTGTTCTTTTTTTCTTTCCGCTTCCTGTGTCCTTTGCTCCTTCGAGCGATATCAGCTGATTTCGTTCGTAGCCGAACTTTGTACTCTCGGTTCGCGAACAAAGTCGATATATTGACTTCTGAGCGATGGATTTGATTCGAATCGTTTTTCCATGCAATGCAACGTCTTAAGTGCGATAAAGCGAGAGTCACCAAAATCATTTACACTTTTTTTAAGAGACAGGCGTACAACGAATCGTCCGTTAACGTCGCGAGAATGAGTCGCTTTGAAATGTTCTTTGCACTGAGATTCTTCTGGAGACATTGAGGCTTGAGATGCAGGCAAGATTTCTTCTTGTGCCCAGAAGCGTTGGAGGAGCTCGAGGAGCTCAGAGTCGAGAGAGCACTAAAGACCAATGATTGAGTTGCGTTCCATGGCGTTGGTCTTCGGATTATCGTTAGAGAGGGGCTCTGACAGCACCCATCCGAGAGTCTTAAGCGTACGTTTGCTCCGAGTATGAAATCGATTTTTCCGGACGTGGCGAAGTTTGGATCCGCGAGCTTGAGACCATGAATGTGCGGCCATTGAGTATATTCGACACGCGCGGGAGGTAGATAGGCCGTTAATTTCGGTAGTACGAGAGCATCGATTTCGAGAGAGATTTCTTTATGCACTTGGAGATCACTGTGAGAGAAACGAGTCCGTTTGATACGCTTGAGCGTTGAGCACCGATGCCGAGAATCGGAATAGCCGCGGCGCGACGCGAGAGCTTTAACAATTGCGCGACCGATTCCGAGAGAAAAGAGACTTCTGATCCTTGATCGAGAAGTGCTCGCACTTGATAGAAATCTCCGGTTGATGAGATAACGTTTACGAGAGCGGTGACTAAGAAAACCGGAGTCCGACGGATTACTCGCGATTGAGCGATGTGATTTGATGTCGCAAAGTTTGAGTCTTGCTCGGTACTCAGTTAAGGAGCTGCAGAGAGTGGAAGAATACTTGCACTATGAGTTGCCGGCGAAGATGATGTGGCGACAGACGTCGACGAGTTTGAGGATGCATCTGATGCACCGATCGCTGTGTTACCGGCTTGATTATGGAGAGTAGAGTGATGTTGCTTGTGGCAGAGACGGCAGCGCTTTGTTGAGCAACACGATTTCATTTGATAAGGCTCGAGACAGTTAAAGCATAGACTTTTTGCAATGATTACTTCCTTTCGCTGCACGGGTGTCTTTTCGAGATACTTAGGATACGAGGAGATGTAATGTCCCAATGAACACAACGCGCACTTTTGCTCAGACACAGCAGCGGTATATGCACGAGCGTTAGCTTGAGGTCTTGACGGATTTGCGTGTTGTTTCCGAGAAGTCGTTTGTTCGAAGGCTTCAAGAGTGAGAATACGACCGAGAAGTAATTTCTCGAAGTCGGTGAACGATGGTGCTTGCGATGTGGCTCCGAATGATTTTTCTCACTCCTTTACAGATTCGGTGTCTAACTTGCGCACTGTCACAAAGATGAGAATAACATCCCAGTGATGAACTGGGCAGCCCAATGTAGCGAGGGCTCCGATGGCTTCTTTCAGCTCGCAGAGCAGGCGTTTAACTTTCGATGCACATTTGGTTTTTGCCTTGCGAATCGAAAACAGAGCGGAGAGCTGAGCATCCATGAGGATACGCTTATCGTCGTGCCGGGCGACGAGAGTATCCCATGCGCGATTAAATCCTTTGCTCGATATCTCGACGCCTTTCAAGAGTGTAGCCGGCTTGTCCGATAGGCTCAATTTTAAATAATAAAGTTTCTCGACAGCAGAGAGATCGGTATTCGCGTTGATCATTGATGAAAAGAGATCTCTGAAATGATTCCACTGCGAATAATCACCGTTGAATTTCGGTAGATCGATGCGAGGCAAACGTCGAGAATGCGATGCGGACGATGAATTCATAGAGTTGTCGGCTGTATTCTGTTGAGCTGGCGGTTCAAAACTGTCGAGGATAGTGAGCATTGTGCTCTAGGCTTCGACAAATTTTTCGTCGCATTGCTCATAAACCTTATTGACAAAGTAGTCCAGCTATTTAAATTCTAGCGATCTCAGCTTGTATAAGTTTTCGCGCTTGGAATTTTTCCCAATTCGATTTTAAACTCGCTAGGCGACTTTGCACTGCACAGCGGGTGGTCTTAGAAGGACCGAGCTTTTGTAGATTCTCGCAAGCGCGAGCGATGAGGCCGAAAAGCTCATACTGGCAATCGAGAAGAGCCTCGAGAGTCATTCTGTCGAGATTTAATAATGAGAAGTTCGAGAGTCACTGCACACACTCACAGCTGCATTTTGGGCGAAATTGATAAGTCACTTAGTATGATCGCGGTGAGAGATATTCAACTTTATTGTCACACGCGATATAGAGAGATGCGAGTAGCCGTAATAGATAGAAAAATCGATAAACGCGACGAATTACTTTCCGAGAATTACTGAAATCTCGAGAATTTCGGTAAAGAGAGAGCGCGAACTACGCCCGCGATCCGCGAATCCGGCTCGAAGGACCAAAAAAAATGTTGAGAGAAACGTGAGATCCGGCACTGGCGACGTCAAAATATCTCGAGGTGGATAGGAAAGTGATCTGAGGAAAACTTTGTCGTATTAATCGATTTATTCTGATCGAACGTTGAGAGACGACTGGACCCGTCCGCGAACGGCAGTTCGTGAATTTTGACAAACAAATATAAAGAGGGGGAACAGTTTCGACAGATTTATAATATCTAGAGTACAGAAATATAAAGGAGAAAATACATATAAATATATAGAGGACATAGGTGTCCTTTGTAATGTGAACGCGAAAACAACAAACAAAAGCGCACAAATAAGTACGCGGAGAACGGTATCTATAGAAATTAGCGCGATAACATTTACCGAGAATATTTGCTTAAAATTCGATTTTCATAACGGCCGTTCTTGAGAGATTTAGGAAGATTGATATTTTCTTAAACTCAATGACGAATATTATTAAATTCGACGATACAGATTTCAAAATGCAATATTAAATTAAATCGGATCTAATTGTACTTATAATGATTTGTCCGAACACTTAAGGAAAAAAACCGTTTTTGCGATTTAGATTGCTCGTCTGTTGCAAATCTCTCGATTTGTCGCTCGCAAATCGGGTATTTATTTCTCTTGTTTTGTGATTTAATTACGCTGTAAATATTGTAAATACGTTTATTAGTTGGCTGTTGACTTTAATTTACTTGTAAAATATACTTTTGTGCCGTCTAAAAGAATACAGTGTATTTTCAACCGTCACGTCGATATCTTCTGTTGTCCTTCTCTCGCATTCACTCTCGCACATTAAAAGTGGTCCTTTGAGCCGGATCGTAGCTAGTAAATCGTAGATCGTAGACCGGCTGTGCCGTGAGTGAGTAGATTTTTTAGCTGCTTTTCCCGGTATTCTCTAGAGAATAACCATCTGAAAAAACTGCAGAAGGAGAAAGTATCATGGGCAACGATCACAAGGACATTTTACTTGGCCAAACTGATCTTTACGCTCGCATCACCCACGCGTATGAGAACCTGAAGAAGGTGAGCGCTGCTAAAATCACCTTGGGTATAGCCGAAGCACTCCTTCAAGCTCTGGAGCAGTG